GCAGCAGAATTTTCACTGATACACCACCTAAGGCAACAGAAACAAAGGAGAAAATGAACACATGAGACTACATCAAACTCAAAAGCATCCGCACAGCAAAAGACACAATCATAGAAATGGAAAGGCAATCCACTGTATGGGAGAACATAATAGCCAATGATATATCTGATAAGGAGTTAATTTCCAATATCTATATATAGAGTGCTCATACAACTCAACAAAAGGAAGACAAAGAACCCAATTAAAAAATGAAAAGAGGAACTAAATAGACACCTCTCCAAACAGGACATGCAAATGGCTAAGAGACAGATGAAGAAATGCTGAACATCAGTAATCATCAGAGAGATGCAAATTAAACCAACAATGAGGTATCACCTCACACCTGTCAGAATGGCCGCCATCAACAAATCATCAAACAACAAGTGTTGGCGAGGGTGTGGAGAAAAGGGGACTCTAATACCCTGCTGGTGGGATTGCAGACTGGTGCAGTCACTATGGAAAACAATATGGTATTACCTCAAAAAATTAAAAATTAACTTCCATTTGACCCAGTGATCCCACTTCTAGGAATATACCCTAAGAAGCCTTGAACGCCAATCAGAAAGAACATATGTACCCCCATGTTCGTAGCAACACTATTTACAATAGCGAAGATTTAGAAACAGCCCAAGTGTCCATCAGTAGACAAATGGATAAAAAAGCTGTGATACTTATACACAATGGAGTACTATGCAGCTGTAATAAAGAAAGATCTCTTATCCTTTGAGACAACATGGAATGACCTGGAAAGTATTATCCTAATTGAAACAAGCCAAACAGAGAAAGACAAGTATCATATGATCTCACTTATTTGTGGAATACAATTAACATAACAGTCTGAGGAATGGGGTAGTCTCAGATATGTGGAAGTGGGTTACAAACTGACAACCCCTAGAAGAAGAGGTGGTGGAGGAGAGAAAACTTCTACTTCTTCCACTAAAATATTTTAACTCAAAGTTCAGAAACCAGCCTCAACCCTGTTCTGTGTTGACTGACCCTCTGTCGCACACTATGGATCAGAGTGCTGGATGCCATTCTTAAATAACCGTTCCCTTTCAGACTACAGAAAAATGTTTCCAGATTTCCCTGAGGAATCCTTGTCCTTTCTTGAAATTCCTTCATATTTTACCCGAACATGTGCTGTCTTCTCACTTTTTTGTGTGTTTCATCAAAAAGATAGGCCTAGAGAAAAACTGAATGAGGCAAGTCTTGAAAGTCAATTCTGTGAGCTGCTTTAAGAAACTAATCAAATCCAAAGAGGGCACTGTGGGAACCTCTGGTTTGTAGCCAGTTCATCAGAGTACACAATTTGAGTTGCACAATAGTAGGAAGATATACCCAGATTTAATACATTAGTTATATATTATGAAGCCTGAACCAGCCCTATCCCTATTGAAGAGTTCAGGATTAATAGACTAGAACCAATTGCAGAAATTCTGTTGGGAAAAAAAAATCTAAGAATTGTACAGGATTGAAAAAAATAATAATGAGTTTCCCTGTGGAAATAAGCTCTGGGTCCAGAATAAGTACATGGGTTATCTATGTCTGGTGACATTCTGTTTCCCAGGATAGGGAGTTAATCAGATACCAGGGCTCTGTTGTCATCCCTCGCCCTCCTCAGGGTCTTCTAATACATGCAAAGTTCTCACTCTGGAGGCTTTGCTCACAGTACAAAAACATCCTTCTCAGCAAATGGCATTCAGAAGGATGCTAAGGGAGATTTGCTAACTTCTCCAGGTGTCCCTGCTGGTAAGTATGGTTTTAAAAGTATGGATTCTTCTCTGTGGCCAGTGGAGCACACAGGAAAGGGTAGTAGGTGATCAGATATGTACAGAGAGGAAAACTTCCTGATGGAGAGTAGGGAATAAGGGGATTGACTGTAAGAATGTGCCAGCACAATCTCTTAGATACATTTCAGCAACTGCTGTCTTCACTCTTTCTAACACATTCATATCCATTTCTGGGTGCAACTTGTACATCTTTAGACAACTTTGTTATTGTTTCTGTGCACTAAATCTCGGCACCGGCCTGGATGCTGTCTATTTACTGATCTATTGAGGTTCTTTCTCTTTGTGTTTTCTGTCTTCTTCTCATTGCTCTCTTATTCAGCACCTTCTAATCTAGTTTAAAGGTTGGTAAATGCCCCCATCCTGAGCAATAACCCTGCAATATAGGTATTTTAGCCTTAGTTTATAGGTGAGAAATCTCAGACTCAAAGAAGGGAAATAATTTAACCAAGTTCATATGGAAATGAGCAAAAGAACTTGGCTTCAATTCCTAATTTCTGCATCTAAATATTGTGCCATTTCCCAGACTGTAAGCTCTAACTAAGTTAGCTGAACGGAAGTCACAAAAAAGAAATCTGATTGTAGGATTCTCTTTCATCTCCTCCCCAAACTACCTCAATTTAAATACTACTCCTTGCCCCACCTTCACTGGTGAGGGTGTGTGTGTGTGTTGGGGGATGTCAATGGGGGAAAAAAGGAGAGATATCTGTTATACTTTCAACAATAAAGATAAGTGAAAAAAAAGAAATAACACAAATGAGTTATTTTGGGGTAATGAAGTTGCATTGTTCTAATTATGGTGGTAATTACATGAATCTATAAAATTCATAAAACTATGTACCCTCCCCTGAATCCCAAAAGGTTTAGTGCATGTAAAAACTGGTGGAATTCAAATGAGGTTTGTGGTTTGCTTAGTAAAATATTGTGCCAATGACAATTTCCTGGTTGTGACAGTAATTGTGGTTATGTAAGATGTTAATATTGAGGTGAATTGTATGTGGGAATTCTCTATTATTTTGGCAACTTCTATGTGAGATTAAACTTATTATTATTTTTTTTAAATACTACTGCTTGCATACCTCTGTTCAAATTAAGGATAGTTTTCTACATAGTTCTTATGTACTTCTTCAAACCTGTTTTTTTTTTTTTCTCAATCTGGAATTATTTTTTTCTTTGAATAATTATCTTAACTCATGTTTGCTATCTCCTTACTGTATCTGGGATAAAATTCTCTTTTCTAGAATTGCTTAATCTATGTGACCAAGACCCAAGCTGCAAATCACCCTTTCAAGACACACACACACACACACACACACACACACACACACACACACACAGGCTTTCATCCCCAGAAATACTTTTCTAATACAGTTTATCTAATGAAGCTTGTTTCTGTTTTGCATGGTATTGAAGTCTCATGGGATATTGAAGAAAGAAATAAAAGTTGTGAGTCTATGTATAAGGAAGTGGAGTACCTCAAAGGTGATCTATAACAGTACTGTGAGTCCTTCAGTCTTCTCTTGTCACTAAGGAGATAGCTTCCTGGTGGTGTGAATTAGATTTACATTCTTGGTGTTTCTAATTCTTCTAAAATGGGTAATTCTTATTTCTACTGAGCATTTCTAAGTACTAGACCCTATTTTTTTATAGGTACTAAACCCTATAGACATAGATAAATAGGTATATATGGTACATATCTGTCCTTATCTATCTATCTATCTATCTATCTATCTATCTATCTATCTATCTATCTATCTATCATCTATCTATCATCTATCATCTATCTATCTATTTATCTATCTATCTATCATCTATCTATCATCTATCTATCTATCTATCTATCTATCTATCTATCATCTATCCATCCATCATCTATCTATCCATCATCTATCCATCCATCATCTATCTATCCATCATCTATCTATCTATCTATCTATCTATCTATCTATCTATCTATCTATCTATCTAATCTATTGTCTATCATCTATCTATCTATCTATCTATCTATCTATCTATCTATCATCATCATCTATCATCTATCTATCATCATGTGTGTCTTAAAGAGAAAATGTTCTTGGTTACAGTGTGCTTAGATTTATTAAGTTGATATTTCATGATGACAACTTAGTATAGTAAAAGAAATTATGAATTTGATTTCAAGAAATGATGTGTATAAATTAACACACTTTATCTGACATTTTGTGTTAATGTACAAACCTGAACATTAATGTGTGTGTGTGTGTGTGTAAATCTGTACTTTTTTCTTGATAGTCATCAACAGAAAGACACAAATGACAAGGCTCTATTTTCCTATCATCAGGACAGAAATGAAGAGGAATATGTACATTCCATTCTAAGCCAACCCAGATTCAGAGGAGTATCCTGACATAAAGTTTTCTGTGGTTTTATTAATAAGATCTCAATGCAAGATTATTCTCTAATATTGGCACCAGCATAAAAGGAGAGACCAGAAGATAAATATGATATAAGAAATGGTATTTTGGGGTTTAACCGGTGGGAAGCCTGTGCAGATGCAAAATTGTCTTAGAAAGTTGTGGCTTGCTGGAATTATTATTTCTTTGAAAAATATGTTCTATATGTTCAGCTCAAAAATTATGATAGTTGTTATTCATTTTTTCATAAGACAGCTTTATTGAGTTATAATTCAGATATCATACAATTTGTTATTATGTTTAAGATATGTTTCTACTTTGTACGTAAAGTATATAGCCATCAATCAAATAATGTTTTTCTATACAATATGATAGAAGATTTTCAAGAAAATATTTTGTGTACTCAAGTAGCAATGGAACACCTTTATCTTAATAATTATTTTATTAACCTAAATGGCTGATTTGTATAACTGTTTCAACCACTAAAACTTTAAGTTGTATCAATGATAGCACAGAATGTGGACATCTATAATAGATACTCAGTCAATGTTGAACTAAAATCATTGAATTTAATTGAATGGATCTGGTGAAATCTTGTGGCCAAATTTTACCATTAAATTTTATATACCTTTAGGCCTCTATGAGGCAACAATATCAGTAGATATGATAGAACTTTTACTGACTTTGTTTTTTTTCTGTCTACTAAGAAAAGAGGAGACCTAATCAATGAACGAGAGGCACTTGGTCTATGACAAATTTCACTATAAAAAGGTCCAGAAGGATGGCCTCTCTTAATACCACCTTATTTCATCCCTACTCTTTCTTCCTTCTGGGGATCCCTGGGCTGGAACACCTGCATATCTGGATTAGTTTCCCTTTTTTTGTTGTGTACCTGATAGCTGTCCTTGGGAATATCAGCATACTTTCTGTAATTCAGAATCAGAGTAGCCTCCACCAGCCTGTGTTCTACTTCCTGGCTGTTCTGTCTTCTATTGACCTGGGCCTTTCCACATCCACCATTCCCAAGATGCTTGGCATCTTCTGGTTCAACCTGAAAGAAATATCCTTTGAGGGTTGTCTCATCCAGATGTTTTTCATTCACTTATGCACTGGCATGGAGTCGACTGTGCTCGTGGCCATGGCCTATGACCGCTATGTAGCCATCTGTAATCCACTTCGCTACACGTTGGTACTGACCAACAAGGTGGTATTCGTCATCATAGCAGTAATCTTACTGAGACCTTTGCCTTTTGTCATACCCTTTGTTCTTCTCATCCTACGGTTACCATTTTGTGGACACCAGATTATCCCTCACACTTACTGTGAACACATGGGCATTGCCCGCCTGTCCTGTGCCAGCATCAGAGTCAACATCATTTATGGCTTATGTACCATTTTTATCTTTGTGTGTGACATTATAGCCATTGTCATTTCCTACGTGCAGATCCTTGGTGCTGTCTTTCGACTCCCTTCCCATGATGCCCGGCTCAAAGCGCTCAGTACCTGTGGCTCTCATGTGTGTGTGATGTCGGTTTTCTACATTCCTGCATTTTTCTCGTTCATGACCCATAGGTTTGGTCAGAATATACCACACTACATTCATATCTTTCTGGCCAATTTCTATGTAGTAATTCCACCTGCTCTCAACCCTGTAATCTATGGTGTCAGAACTAAACAAGTTAGAAAACAAGTGCTGAACATATTTTTCAAGAAAAATATATAGCTCTGGTAAAGAATCAAATTGAAGAAGGGATGGTATTAATTCTCTGTTCAGAATATAAAGAGAACATTTGGAAGTTATGCAGACCTATCTCAGGGGAGCTGTTAGCCTGCTTCTCAAATGTAGAATGGAAAGTTAAGCCCATGTCAAGTGTACGAATAAAAGTGTTTTGTAATTTTTCATTATTTGGAAATAATTTTGATTCCTCATGTGGAAGAAAACCAACACTTCACTCTGCTTTCATTATGACTAAGCACATCACATTCCACAGGTACAGTCTATTTAAAGCAAAGTTGCCCCCTCTAAAAATCACCACAAACAAACAAAAACTAGAAAGCCCTTCATATCCTGATTTAAACCAAAATAGTGCATCTCCCTGATTAGTGCTTGTCCCCAAAATAATAGATGCTGGATTTCCTATCAAAACTAATGTTACTCTTGACTTTTTCATGTTAATGTTGGAAGATAGAAAACTGATACTATAAATATGTCATTGAGGAAGGTGGAGATTTTTTTAAAAAATGTTTCTTTATTGATTTTAGAGAGAGAAGAAGGGAGAAGGAGAGAGAGATAGAAACATTGATGAGAGAGAACATCAATTGGCCGCCTCCTGCATGCCCTCCACTGGGGATCAGGCCTACAACTTGGGCATGTGCCCTGGCCGGGAATCGAACCAGCCACCTTTTGGTCGATGCTCAACCATTGAGCCACACTGGCTGGACTTGGAAGGTGGAGATTTTACACCATGAACAAAATTTCAGAACTGTGGCAATCTTGTGAATTTGTAGTCTTTTTTTTTGTTTTAAAGTTGTTGTATTTATAACATCTTACTGATACCACTTTTTAAACAATTATTTTTCAAATAGTTTTGTCTCTGTGTCTTTTGCCTTTCCGTAGAAGAGTTTCACTTTTATAGAATGCTGGAAGTCTCAGATATATTCCAAGTTTAGTATTACCCAAGTATGTGTGTGTGTGTGTGTGTGTGTGTGTGTGTGTGTCTTAAGATGGAACACTAGTTCTATGTGATATTACTCAGGGTTGTTTAGTTCTATGTGACAGTATTAACATGATGTGCAAAAAGAATTAAAGAAAAAATATGTTCGTAAATCTTGGTCAACAGAACAAAAATTTTATCTATATTTTATTTAAGGACTTTTCAGAGTTTTTAATTAAGAACTATTCATTTGGAACATTAAGATGCTATTGGCATTAAATTGTTCCTCAGACCATTGCATGACAGTCATATTCTTTAGAACCCACTTTAGAGATATAGTCTACTTATTTTTATTGCAACTGAAAATATGGTGTCATAAATTCTTAGAGGGATTTTGTATTTTTATTATCACATACTGAACTTGAAATTCTTTGAAAATAATTAACCAATTATGCTCTGTAGTTATAGGCACAAGTGGCTTTTCCCAGATCCCGTTGTGACATTGAATTCATCCTTTATCCATTTATTCTATTTATGGAATAACTTCTAATTTACATGGCCCCAATTGTGTATTGACTGATTTAGAAAGTATTCATTCTCATTATATGTTTTGGGCAATTTGTGAAAAATCAGTATTTAGTATTTTAAAGTTGGTAGACTTCACCAGTACATACACCTACGCTTAGAGTTTCCTGTGTTAGAAGCTAGCTAACCAACTTCTTTAATAGGAAAAAGACTATTAAGGTCATCCATTTCTTCCTACAGTTGCGATGAATGTCATCAGTGAATGCATCATAGGATCCACATCCCTCTAGCTTTTCCTTGTGTTTAGGGTGTAGGCTGATGATTCACAAGGCTTTTTGGGATTTACCCCATATCAGCTTTAGATCTTCCCTTTGTTTCTATGAAACAGATAAGACCATTCTTCATGTTCTCCACCCTCCCTCAGGAGTAGAATACTATTACTTGTTACTTGAATCCAGCTAGTCTGGTAGCAGGAGCTAGGAGATAAGTATATTGCCAATTATGCCAGTTCAGTCTTAGGCAGGTGCTGTGTTTCTATGTCTTGAAAGTGGAGTGTTCTCAGTAATTCTTTCCCTTCTCTAGTGCTCTAGGAGACTTCTGATGAACCTGCCTCAGCATGAGGCTATAAAGTTTGTTTCTGACTCTTTCACTCAGCAACAGTGGGTCTTTAGTGGTCCTCTCCCTCCAGGGGCTAAAGATTTTTGTTCCTTAAGGGAGAGAAACTGGGCCTGCTTTATAATGAAGTCCTTCTGGAGCCTCTCATCTTGCCCCCAGACTTTCTCAGGAGTACCTACTTAAGGTCTATGGAGAAAACCTTAGTGGGTGTGAATTAATTCCTCTTTGTGTCATACACACATGACTCCCAGCCATTCTATATTTCGACATAGGTCCATACTCATCTTTGAGAGACTTGAACACATTCTCTATGGAGAAGCTACTTAGTTTGATATAGTTCCATTCATTTATTTTTGCTTTTACTTCCCTTGCCTTTGTGGTCAAATTCACAAAATCCAAGGGCCATGAGTTTAGTACTTATGTTTTCTTCTATGAAATTTATTGTTTCAGGGCTTATGTTCAGGTCTTGGATCCATTTCGGGTTACTTTTTGTATATGGAGACAGATAGCAGTCTACTATGAAAAGTCAATCAACTGAATGGGAGAAGATATTTGTATACAATGGCTCCAAGTAGGGATTAATATCTAAAATATATAAGAAACTCATACAACTTAACAAGAATCAAAAACAAACAATCCAATTAAAAAATAAGCAGAGGACCTAATCAGATACTTCTCACAAGAAGACATACAAATGACCAATAGATAATGAAAAGATGCTCAACTTCTCTAACCACTAGAAAAATGCAAATTAAAAATACAATGAGATACCACCTCACACCTGTTAGAATGGCTATTATTAATAAGACAAGCAATAACAAGTGTTGGAGAATGTGTGGGGAAAAATGAACACTCATTCTCTGTTGGTGGGAATGTAAACTGGTCTAACCACTGTGGAAAACAGTATAGAGGTTCCACAGAACAGAATAGAGTTCCATATAACCCAACCACTTCTGGGTCCCTACCAGAAAAATTTGAAAACATTTATTCACAAATATATATGCAGCCGTATGTTCATTGCAGCATTATTTATGGTTGCTAACACATGGAAAGAACCGAAGTGTCCTTGGATAGATGATTTGATAAAGAAGATGTGGTACTTATGGATATACAATGGAATACTATTCAGCACAAGAAAAGATGAAATATTGCCATTTGTGACAACATGGATGGATCTTGAGAATATCATACTAAGCTAAATAAGTTAGACAGAAAAAGTTAAGAACCATATGATTTCACCCATATGTGGGAAAGAAAACTGAAAGCAACAACTGAACTGTAAGGTATCTTGCCGAGGATGAAAGAGAAACGAAGCCGCAAAAGCAGGCAAGAAAATTTTATTGAAGCTTCCCGGGGGAGGTTCACTGGTCCATGTGGCGGGGGCCAGGGCAGTGACCCTGCTACTTTCACTGGGGAAGATTTATAGGGATGTTAGGGCTCTGGGTGGGGTAATTAGGTGTGGCATCAGGTGACTGGCTAGCTGCTGGGGAGATTCGAGTGTGGTGTATGTTGATTGGCTGAGAAGGGTGGTGGGACGTGACCAGGAGTGTCTTCTCAACCTCAGTCCCATCCAGGCAAGGCGAGGTGTCCCAAGGTAGGTTTTGATTTCTCCTCTGGCTGTCCATTTCCCTGGTCATGTGACCCCCACAGCCCAACAATCTTACATGAACAAACAACAAAAACAAACAAACTAAAACTCTTAGACACAGATAAGCGTATGGTGGTTACCAGAGGGAAGAGGCTCTGCTAGTAAAGGTTAAAGTGGGTTAAACATATACTGATGGAGAATCTTACTTTGGGTGATGGATACACATGCAATATACAGATGATGTATCATGTAATTGTACACTTGAAACCTATATAATTTATGAACTATTGTCACCCAAATATTTAATTTAAAAAACTTTATTAACTTAAAAAGTTTTATGGAAAAATTATTTGCACTGGCTTTTATGGCATCTGGTATCTGTTCCTGTAAGTAAGAGATCATGTGCCACTTTTTTTGCAGTTGACTGCCTTTCCTTAGATTTTGAATTAGTTAATTGCCCTGTGATTTCAACTATCTGAATGTTCAAGAAAATTGTGAGGTTTTTGGATCTAGCATGTTGTTTGTTTTTTATCCTCACCTGAGGACATTTTTTTGTTTTTTGTTCAGATAGAGTGGGAGGGAGAGAGAGGAAGAGAGAGAGAGAGAGAAACATTGACGTGAAAGGGACACATTGAGTGGTTGCCACCCGCACAACTCAACCAGGGCCGGGTACAAACTGCAACTGAGGTACGTGCCCTTAGCAGGAACTGAACCCGGGTCTCTCTGGTTTGCAGGCCGACGCTCTAACCACTGAGCCAAACGGACCAGGGCGATCTAGCATGTTTTTGTTTGCCATTAAGATTTTGAGTGATATGCTTTTCAAATTTCTATATTCTAAATAAAAACTATTAAGTCCTGGTAGATATTATAAATTATGTTGTACTGAGTGGAAGGACATCTATATATTCATTGTCAGCTTCCCACAACTGTATTTCTCAAAACATGGACTGTGGGCCACTGAATCATAAATATACAAGATGACTAATGAAAAGCAAATGGGATTTTATTTATGAAATGTATCACAGAAGTTTTTTAGTCTCATAATCTTACAGTGGGCCTGAGCATATGTATTTTTAAGAGGTGTCAAACCTTTACAATTTGGGGAACTATCATTCTAGAAAGTTGAGACTTGAGTATAAATGCAATTATTGGATGGAGAAAATGAGATAATTTTTAGAAAGTAAGATGGTTGAATGCAAAATTGGCTAACTGAAAGTTGGACAACTCCCTGGCCCAGTCCCAAGACACACACACACACACACACACACACACACACACACACACACCTGACTTGACCTGGTCCATAGGGAACTTTGTTTAATTACTGACCTAATATTCTTGATGTCCTATCTTCTAGAACTGTTTTCTGATTTTTGAAACTCTATAACTTGGCTAATTATCTATTTTCTATTTCTGTCATAGCACTTGTCATGTTGATGTATCATAATGTAATGTAACTAAATATAACGAAGTGGTTAAGAATATGAATCTGCTACCTAACTTCCTAAAGTCAATCTTGGCTTCACTTTTAACCATTTCTGTGACCATGGGAAAGTCAACTAATTTCCCTATCCCTCAGTTTTTTTATTTGTGAAAAGAGGATATTAATGCCACAAATTTTGTCTAGTTTGCTTGAGAATGTACTGGGTTAATGTATGTAAATAACCCAGAAGAGATTATGAGAATGTAAGCCCTATATAAGTTTTAGATATTATTATACTGAAAAAAAAATGTTTATATGTCTAAATCAATTTTATCAAGCTACTAGAACAAAATGTTTTTACCCTACTATTAATGTTCATGTATTGTAAAGCTCATTCTTTTTGTACACCCTTATTTACTATATGCTAGGAAGAAGCTATAATAAATGTAAATATCTGGTAAGAATAAACTGAATAATTTTAATTAAGATTTCCTCCCTCTGCCTCTCTCCACACACTTTCTGTTAGTGAGGCTTTCTAACAAAGTCACCTGTTCTCAGATACTCCTCAATATGGTAAGACTTTCTATTTTGATTAGAAATATATGCCCAACTCTGAGGTTTAGTTAGAATGTTCACTGGGTCTCTATCCAAACAAAGTCCTCCAGAATAGTCTTCACCACTAATAAAGATGATGATATTTTGTACTCACAGCTACCATACTTTTTCTTTTCTCAATTTTTTGAGGAATCACATAAGAAAAAAGGGTATGTTTACTGTGTATACCTCTAAGACCCTGAAACTGATTATAGACCTTACCTTATACTTCTCAGTATGCCTCTTAAAATGTAGTCAATAATTAAACATTGACTAAATGGATCTAAACGGAGAGTGTTCATGGAGGATAGAATGAAAACAATTCTGACATCTGAGCCTTTGACACCTGAGATCCTCATTCAGTGAGGTTTGGCTGAATATGGAATAATTCTCATGTAGGAAAATTATGGTTTTAAAGCTAGACAGACTTTAAATCCTGGCTCCTCTACTCACTAGCTCATTAAATATGAGCTTGTTAAACTATAAATATATGAGTGTTTATAGTAATTAACTCTAAAATATTGCAAAGGTTAAGTGATTATATATACAGATCGAAATAAAGAGATTGGAACATATTAAATTCTTAATAAATGTTGATTTTTTTCACATTTTTAGCTTAGGGAGGTGTAAATTACATGATTAAAATATTTTCCCAGCGGTCAACTGATTTCTCTGTGCCCCAGTTTGCACAGCTGCAGCTCAATTTTAGCTGTTATCTAAGAATCATGTAGGAAACTTAAAACATATATGCCTAAACTACCCCCATTATAGTTTTACTTTCTCTAGACTTTTATTTAAATGGAATCATAGAGTATGTAGTCTTTTCTGTCTGAATTTTATCAGTTAGTGTACTGCCTGTGAGATTCATCCATGTGAAGTTACAGAACACCAAAAAAAACACAAAACAACAACAACAACAAAAAACAAACAAACAAACAAACAAAAAACCCACAGGACTTAATGACAAAGAAAAAATAATAATTACTATAAAATTATGACAATTTAGCCAACAAGAGACTTTTTAAAAGTAAAAATGATTCTTGAAGACTCTAAGATAATGATTTCAAAAGACTAAGAAAATATAATGATTGGAGAATAGAATTGTGTAGCTAGAAAAGTATCAAAAAGTGAGTGTGAAATAAAGAAAACTTTAGATGAACAGAAAACAGAGTAATTCACACTAGGAGACTCACTAGAAAAGTCTGAAAATATGTACTTGTGAAGGAAGGTCATTTAGTCAAGAAGGAAGGACTAGGGTGGAAGAAGGGACATTCCTAAGTCTGATAATCTGAATGCTAAACCAAAAAAAAAAAAAAAATTGATTATATATCCTATTGATTTTAAATATCTCTTATTTTTAGACTCAGATGATTCTCCAAATTTTTTGTTCATTTGTTTTTTATTGTTTTTAGAAAACAATATTTTAATATTATGATAAAAAGCCCTATTTGGTAATATATCTGCCTCAATGTCATTATCGTTAAAACATCAAATATATCTTTGGATGAGTTACTTCTCATAAAATAACACTAGCTCTCTGACCATTAAAAGAGGATCTTGATAAAGAAACCACACAGTATGAGACAGATAATACAATGTTTGTTCAGATATTACTCACCAACAAAAAGGGTTTAGTTTAGAGGCTTTGGAAAACTAAAAAAATTAAGAAACCTGTCCCATATCTTCTTGGTTCTTACCCCATAAATAATGGGGTTCACCATGGGCGGGACCAGAAGATAGATGTTGGCCACAAATATGTGGACATGGGAAGACACATGGTGCCCAAACCTGTGGGTAAGAAATGAGAAGAAGGCTGGAGTATAGGACACTAAAATCACACAGATATGGGAACCACAGGTACCCAAGGTCTTGAGTCGGGCATTCTTAGATGGGAGGTGGAAGACAGTGTGCAGTATGAGGACATAAGAACAAATAATCAATATGAAGTCCACCCCTCCAGTAAGGAAGGCAACAATGAGGCTGTAGGCTCTTTGGATTCTGGTCTCAGCACAGGCAATCTTGATGAGGGCCATGAACTCACAGTAGGTGTGGGAGATAACATTGGTCCTGCAGTAGGGAAGCCAACATAACAGGAAGGGGTGAGGACTGAGAAGTACTGTGCCCCTGAGTAGGACAGCTAGACCTACCTCCCCAATTACAGAATGTGTCAGAATAGCTGAGTGTCTTAATGGATTACAAATGGCTACGTAACGGTCAAAAGCCATGGCCAGGAAGAAACCAGACTCCATGGTGGAGCAAGAGTGAATTAGGAACACTTGAGTGAGGCAGGCTTCAAAGCGAATCTCTCCATCATGGAACCAGAAGAGTCTGAGAAGTTTGGGCACAGCTGTAGTACACACAATAAGGTCAGCCACAGCCAGCATGCAGAGGAAGAGGTACATTGGCTCATGGAGGCTGGAATCTGTCTTGATTATAAACAGAAGCGAGCAGTTTCCCACTAAGGCCAAAAGGTAGACCACACAAAAGGGGATGGAGATCCAGATGTGGGCAGCCTCCAGCCCAGGAATGCCAATAAGAATAAAGGTTGATGGATGGACATTGGTCTTATTGTATGCTGACATAACCACAGTTAGACGTTTAACTTTCTCTTCATGGATTTTCCTCTAAAGCAAATAAATAATAACAAATATTTTGAAACCACTAATGAGTTAGCAAGCCAAAATGCAGGGATTGCAAGTCATGGAGTAATTACAATGTCTATAAATGTTTAGATAGAAATTATTTCATTATCTGAGTGTCAAATATTATTTCAGGGTTGTAATATGCAATGTGGCCGATCTATAGATGCTAAATGAGGTAAAATACCCAGGTACCAAAAATCAGTTAAATATATGAAAATCTGAAATCGTCCAACCATTGCAATGAAAATGATGCCAATTGAAAGCTGAAGAATGTGTAAGAGTAGTATTTGGATGAGTAAGAAAAGTGCAATTGTAAGAGACAAAATAGAGTGATACAGAAGAAATACAGAAGGTTTTTTTTTTTTTTTTAAATAGAGAATGGTTCTCTTTTTGTAAAAGATTATAGTAATAATAGTTTGAGACATGCTAAGTTACAGGGTGTGGCTTTGAAACTGAAATAGCAAAATTTGGAGAATGTGTCGATTATTGCAGAATTACCAAAAAGAGATTCATTCACAGTAACTTGATTCATCCAGGATGGCAAGAGTGGGCCTCATGACAGTGTGCCAGAAAATAAACAGCTCATTGCATTTACTCTTGACCTTAGCAGGGAAAAATTACAATAAAATTAACAACCTGTATTCTGAGCTTCCTTCACTTTCCTACATGTATTTAATTAGTCAAACAACTTCATGACTTGCTTTTCATTAAGTGTACTCTGTAGGCAGTCTACTTCCAAGCTTTCCTTCATAACTTTTCCTTTGCTCTGCATACTTCTCCTGTACTGTCTGGTCCCTGCCCCAACCCCCCACACCATGATTTGCTGATAAGACTTGTTCCAGTGTAATCTATATGCCAAACTGGCATATTTGCTCCCCTTCACTTTCAAAAAGTGTTCTGATAGTCTTATTAGGAACTAAGACTTCCAGTTTGGCATATTGATTATTTCAAATTAATGTTATTTGAGAAATAACTGGTGCAAGAACAATTTGACCCTCCTTTATCCCCCTGAAGTAGGAAATAAACCCTTGTGAAGGATCCTTCCCTCTACCAGGAGGGTCCAAGTCACCATTATCACCAGAAATAGGAAGGTTAGGCTAAGCAGGCTGTGTAAACAAAGCTGGTTACTTCTTTACTAATTTATTACCACAAGCCCAGACCTCCTTGTCTACTCAACTCTTCACAAATTTATTGTTTCCTTGTCTAAAAGTTATAAAAAGCTTCTTCTTTTTGTTATTTCTTTGAGTCTCATATTTTTTATGGATCTCTGTATTTATGAAATGATTTGTTTTGCTGTTCATTTATGTTATGTCAATTTAATTATATATCAACCAAAGAACCTAGAAGGAAAGAAGGAAAACATTTTCCACCCCTGCAAAAGTCATACTGTTCCCCTAACAGACAATTTGTTTTTCCTTTTCTTTTGATTAGAAAGATAACTGATACTATTCTCCAGACACTCCTTTTACTTCACTCACTATTATAGATACTTGTAGATTATAAAGTCTTTGTGATCAGAAATAAATAATTCTAAACCAGTGTCCATTGAAGTAGGGAATGAAATATGTATAGTAGACTGGACATCAATATTGAATTGCAATAATGACCCCTTTTGTCTGTTAATCTGTTGTTGAAGTTTCATACCCAAAGATTTTGGTTTTGGCTGTTTGGCCTCAGGGTCCCTAATGACAGATATTCTCTTTTGTCCAGGAGCTCTGAAAAATTTATGTAATGGAATTTCTAGATCATGATGTAAATTGGGACATGAAGAACACAGGGAAACCAGATTATTGAGAATTTATGTAATAATGTAATAGTTAAACATTTTAAAATGTTTAATGTGAGCCAGCTTTTTCCTGACAACATTCATGTTTTAACTTATATTATCCTCATTTTAAAATTATGAGAATTTAAGTTTAAACAGTTGTTTGTGTGGGAACTTATTTCTTGCCCACAAACTGATTCTAGTAATTAATTGCCCTAATGATGTGACAGTCTATTTTCATTTGTGCATACAAGTAAAATAATGGGGACTGTTCTGTATCTAAAATTAGGAAATACCCAAACCATTCATTTGATTGTGAATAATTATTGAAAATCCCCACTGTTTTAAAAGTCTGTACCGTAACCTATCCAAGTCTAAGCCTTTCTCTTCCTAATTAACCCTCTTTCATTGCATTTACTCTTGAAAGATAACTACCGTATACATACCTCAGAGGAAAATTAACATTTGTCACCAGATAAAAGCTCTTTCAATCTTACACCGTTCTACCCTTAGGTTTATGTACATATGCATTGAACTAATGCATTTTTTCATGCTTTCCCTTTTCTTGTCCTAAAATAAACTTATGTGTCCTTTTATTTATATTTGTGGTTCCATCAACATTCTCATATTTTACATGATTTTTTCACATGAATTATATAACCTTTACTCTTTCTATTTGCTCTATCTCATTAAACAATTTAAATATATTTTACCAATAGAAAATGTGTGGACCAATTATATAGTGAAAACATTCACACTGAAATAAATGCAAATGTCCAATCACATAAAATAAATCTTATCCTTACTTGCAGTCAGGCATTAAAAATTGAACATCAATACAGATCATATGTTATAATTTTAATCAACAGAATATAAAGATTTATGATAATAAGCATTAGTGAAGTCTGGGTTAAAGAGTGACTCTTGTGTACAACTGATTGGAGGAAATTGACCCAACATTTAGAGGAAGATTCTTTAGTAGCCATTATTATTAAAAGCAAACATTTTGGAAGAGTGATTTAACTACTTTCCATTCTAAGAAATAATGTTCACATATACACTTGGACATATATACAGTGATTCTTATTGTCACAGTGCCTGTAATAAAATAGAAATGGACCATTGAAAATGTTCATTAATAAAGTAATATTAAATTAAAAATATGTGGCATACTTTTATTATGCACTACCCAGAAGCACTTAGAATAAAGTTTATTTATATAAACTGACAGAATGAAAAAAATAAAGCAGAAATTTGATTTTTTTGTTAACATTAAAACACAATAAAATTAAACATATATGTATATATTTATAAATATGCTTATATCAATGGACATACATATATGTAACTATATATTATTATTAATTATGTATATTATTGTATAATAATTTTATATATACATGTGTAATCACATATATATCTATAAAACCATATTTATAAATACAGAATCAAACTGGATGCATATCCAACTTAAAAGATGTCTAAAATGTGGGGTAAGTAATAAGGAATGTGGAGAACATAATTTAGCTGTATCAGTATGGCTTAAATTTTTTAACAGTGCCAATGTATTTTATATATTCATATGTTAACTATATGGTTTAAGATAAGTAAATAAGTAATGCAGAGTTACAATTGTATTCATCAGAAAAAATCAAACCAAGAAATTACAAATAAGATTTTGCCTCTCATGTCTTGTAAAATATTAGCAATTATTCTAACCTCTTGAAATACCTTTTCTCATATTTTTTAGCATAGAGGACTGGTCACCTAGTTATTTCACAAAAGTGATGAAATGTCTTTGTTCTTCATGATGTAGCTTCACACATGTAACGCCTCAGTAACTTGGCTAGAATTGAAGAATCTACCCCCCTAACAGCTCCTCTGAGATTATTTTTTCTAGGAACTTTTAACCACAGGTCACACCCCTCTTCCATGTCCCTATGGTCTGTGCCCTTACCTGTCTTCTTTCTCTTGTCACATTGAATTTTATATCTCAGCATTTTTTGGAGGACATGTATTTGCATACATTTGGTGTTCCAATGAATTAGTAAAGTAAGAAAAGAAAAGGAGAAAATAAGAAATTGCTATTCATTTTCTGGTAAATAATTTCAATGTAAATTTAAGACAAACAGTAAAATCAC